CAGCAGATGTTGGAACCAGGAGAAGCTTAAACTGGTTAACTTCTGGTTAAAAGACATTTACAGACAGAGATGATTTTCCATCTTTAATGAGAAATGTTTATATTTTGTGTAAAGTTGTGGTTAAATTCCTGCTCTGAGGTTGTTATTCTTTCAACAAATGGCATGTTTTAGAGTCTACATGCTCCACTGAACGATTTGATGACAAAATACCTTGATGATTATTTCAACAATCATTCCAGTCCATGTTTATCCTGCAGTAGTTATCAAGCATTCAGGGTTTCTGAGACAACAATACAGCAGGTGATTCTTGTTAAAGTATTACAGATGTTCTGGTAAAGTCGCTTAGAAATAGCAGAGGTAGTCAGATTAACTATTTTTCAATAAATCCTTGTTGTTGCCTTAGAAATAACTATCTGAGCTATTTGTTTAGCAGCAAACATTGATTTGGATCCTGTCTTTATCCCATGTGTTCCTGGCTTTAAAACAGCACCAAGGACAGTTCAGGTTTCTCAGACGGCTTCACTTATAGCAGGTTTTTTTAAATCTATTTTTATTGTATTTAACAGCAATCAGTTTAAGATCTCAGAAAAAAAATACTATTTAATTTTTTTGACATTAGATGCATAATAAAGTCACAAAATTAAATGGTGCAATTAAACACAGTGGTCCAAACACATTGCTAAAGTCTGTCAGGTTGGTATCCTCTGTGCTGTTGGGTCAATGTTTCCTAATATATTGCCTAATCACTCATTAAAAACTCTTTCTTGACATACATTCTGAGATTTCTACCAGTTGGAGGCATAACTGTTGGAATAAAAATCGTTTAATTGACATGAAACCCTTTCAAAATTAAAATGACTGACATTTTTAATTGGAAATGTCACCTGCACCGATTACAAAAGCAAAGAACCCCCCCCTCTTTCTACTTTTAATTACTAGACTTTATTCATAGTTGTGTAAAAATCCCCCGAATGAGGCGGGGGCTCCTGCAGCTTTCATTTACATCCTACAGTCAGGCTTTCTGGGAGGGAACCCTGCCTGACTCGGCACATTCCCGTCAGCGCTGTTTCTAATCAGCGCAGAGAGCCAGCCTGCTGTTGAGAGACATCTGACAGGATGCTCCATCGAGTGGCATCACAGCTCGGGCCGCGGCGCCACGCTCAGAGCTTTTCCGCTCGCCTATTTTAAGACGCCACATGTAGGATTCACTTGTTGCTGCACCGCTGTGAGGTAGGGGCTGTTGACGCACTCTGAAGCCGACTAAAGGAAGAATGTATGATTATGGATGTCACAAACAATAAACCTAATGATCTACTTGATGTGCAGCTTTCCTGCTATTTTTAGCCCACAGGGTTATTTTCCTGCTAGTTTCAAAGGTAGCATCGGTTTAGCCCGCTTAAACTTGGCTGATCAAGGGTGGAAACTAGATCACACACCAAGTAACTCCAACAAGTTCTTATCTTCGTCGCCGTATGCTCTAATGAATGACAGCAAACTTTACACATATGAATGTAAACAAATGATGCGACACTCCTAATTTAACACCCAGACCTTCCTCATTCCTGAGCAGTTTACTGGAAAACGACCCATTATCAGCCTAGGATCATGTATGATATCCATCAGTCATACATACATTCAGTTTTGAGCAGCTTTTTGTTCAGATTACTTTGTTGCTGATATATAAAAAATAAATTGTACTATCTGCTGTTCAGCCCTTTGTTTCAGGTTTGGAACTTTCTTCCGGATGGTCGCTTTTCCCCCAGGATTTTTCCCAGCCGGAAGAAAACGTTTCTTCCAGGAAAAACTTGGAAGGTCAAATTTACTGGAAAGTTTTGTTCTTTAAGGTTGGGTTCAATATCTATAAACCAGGGTGGTTCGGGAGGGAGAATAGCAGGAAATCAAAGAAAAAGAAAACCAGCTGTTCTAATCTGAGTATAAAAGAAAACGCTTTCATACCATCTAAAGGCTATTAGTAAATTCAGCCATATATTAATTCATCATGGTTTGTATTACATACACGTTATAAATTATATAAATTCTTAATTTATGTCACTGTGTGTATTTTACAATGATTTCTCCTTATGTAGCCTGGTGGATATAGTGAGTTGACTTTTCAATGGAACTATCCCAGTTAACCAAAATATGATCCATTACCACGACTTCCCGTTTCTTCTACTTGTCTGGAAGAGACTCTACCCAGCTTTGTTTCAAAGCACCTTATAAATAAAGTTATTATTATTACTATTATTATTTTAGCCTGTGACGCCTTGGCTGAATGGGGACCTGAAACATGAACGAGGCATGTGGCGATTATCTGCAACTTCATGCCAACTGTAAAGTACGGAGGAGGATCTATGATGCTCTGGGCCTGTTTCTCGTCCCAAAACCATTAGAACCATGTTAGAGAACACTGCATCAACAATCTTTGGACCAGGAGATTTTAGAACCCAGCAGACTGGAATAAATCCTTTCTACAGGACACAGATCCAAACACAGAGTTGCTCCATAAGGCACTGAATCTCAGCCCCCAGACCTGAATCTTACACCAATAGTCAGTCCTCATGGCTTTTGCATCTCTGCTTCTGTCTCCTTGAACCCCAGTCAGCCTCAGCAGATGGCCGCTCACACTGAGCCTGGTTCTGCTGGAGGTTTCTTCCTGTTAAAAGGGAGTTTTTCCTCTGCACTGTCGCTACAAGCTCGCTTAGTGTAAGAGATTACCCCGAGTCAATGAATCGATACAATCAACTGATTTCCCTTAGGTAGAAAACTTTGAATCAATTGACTGTATGCATGTATAATCTGGTGAACTGTAAAGTGCCTTGAGATGACGTGTCATGAATTGGCGCTATATAAATAACCTGAATTGAATTGAAATTGAATGAAGGATAACCTAACCTCCGACCTCTAACCTTTAGAGTGACCTCGATGTGTCGCTTTAATTTTTGAGTGGACTTGGCCAACACATATTTTTTAGTTTTTATTTCTGCCCGAGTCTTCCTTTGTTAGTTCATCACAGTATGGAAGTGCTCTGCAAAACTGGCATCAGAAATACCAGTAGATGAGTCTTAATCGCCCAGACTAGTACTAGCAGGAGACATGCTGGTCTGTCATGCTGTTTGCCATAATAAGTGCCGTAAAACCTGACATTATCTAAAGAAGAGTGTCGTTATTAATTGAACGCCAACATGAGCTGTGTGAGTTGCTCATTATTCTCAGAGTCAACGTCGCTCTGGTTCACGTTCATTGCTTCAAAACTGATCCATTCAGTTCACCGTTCACCAAAAATATGAACGTATTCATTGAACTCCATTCATTGGACGCGTTCATGAACAACACCTTATACCTTAATAGAGACAAAACATTGAATATTAAGAGATGATTGATAACACAAAATTATTTTTCTAACTTATTTTCCAGTGCTGTTGGATTAAGGGTTCCAACCAAACGAACAATATCTGGACTGGTGATGTCAGAAATTTTTTTTTTTTTAAATGGTTAGCTTTTCTAATTTATCTTAGTTTGAAATTATGCAGCTGCAGTTAAACAAATTTTAGTTCTTTTTAACCTGAGAAGGGATAAATGGGCTCCCTGAGCATGATGTCCATGATCATACTGATTCTAAGTCATTTAGTTAGATACAGATAAACCATTCGCAGCACTTAAGAACATATTAAATCAGTGCTGGAAAAACCTGGCATTAAGTATAGTAGGTCAGAGCTCCTAATGGATCCAGGGTTTGACTGAAAATGTAAGCTTAACTGCTTGTTTTAGGCAGTTTTAATAAGTCTGTTAGCGACATACTAATATAAGCTACTACTAATGGTCTTTGAGCCAGGTGCTAAGGAGCTTTGGTTTGAACTTTTAAAGTTATAACAATCTTTATTTCAATATGTTCTAAAACATGATTGGTAGTTTAATTTTTTATGTGTTTTCTGAGCCACTCTTATTGAACTGCTAAAAATGAGCCAATCATTCTTTAAAATGAGCTAAAAGGGCCTCATTAGCAGCTAATCCCAATATCCCCAACTGTTAGTCATTGTTTAAACATAGCTAGTTTTTTCACTCAACAATTGTTCTGATACCCTACTAGCATTCATATAAATGTTAATAGTAATAAAAGAGGTTTTTAGGGTATCCTAAAAACGTTTTAATAACCTAAAACTGTTTAATTTCTACATTTTTCCCGGTTTTAGCTAAGTCGCTAACCAGGAGGGGACGATATCAAGCTGAGCCATTCAGATCTACGTCTTCATCTGACCATTAATGGGCCTAATTAATAATAATAATAATAATAATTTAATTATCATAAATCTTTTTTTTTAAAGCTGCGATTTGCATTGGGAATTTGTTGAAAAACGGACTAACAATTGATGCTCCAAATTAGCTTTGAAGCTAATTTGCCCTCACTCCTTTAGGAACCTCAAGGATAAGCTTTCACACTGAACTATGGTGTCCCAGCTGGCGTGATGATTTTCAACATCAGTTTAAGTAAAACTTCCCTCTTCTTGTTCAATGATAGACTAAAATATGTTTCAATCTGAGCTTAAGTGTTTCTGTAAATAAATTATTTTATTTTGAAGACAGGCTGTTGTGAATTTATTCTATATGTATGCAGAGCTTTCATCTATTTCCCTAATATCAAAACCATATCCCACTGCTGTGAAAATACTTAACAGATGGCGAGTAATTGTTTTGAAAACTTCAATGTATTGCAATAAAACAACACTATGGGATGCGTTTCTGGAAAGTGGAAATAGTAGCAAGTTCTTATGGGTGGAGCTAAATATAAAACAAACCTGGATTGATTTTTATAGGCCCAATAAGACTAGATTGACAGGGAATGGCCTAGTCAAAGCACTAAACAATATTCTACTTAAAATCTGGGGAAATACTTCTGCTATCTATCCAATTTCACGGAGCTTAAGCTATTTTACAAAGAAAAGCAACAAATGTTAAGTACAAAATGGGCGCATAGCTTAACAGTATGAACATGTGCTTACGATGAACTGCTCCACGTCTCTCTCCATGCCAACGTTGGGAAGGTCCGGCATCATGTGAGCAACAACTTTAAAGCCGGCGTCCTTTGCCAGTTGGAAAGACTCACACACAGCTCGCACTGTGTGGCCTCTGCAGAAAGGAGAAACACAGAGAAAACCTGCCTGGATTATTTCATCGCAGTAAAAACTGCTATGGTTCCGACCGACTGCTAACCTGTTGGTGTCTCTAGCCACATCCTCATAAACACTCTGCACTCCTATCTCCAGCCGGGTGCAGCCGTAGCTCAGCATGTCGCTGAGGTGGCGCTTCAGGCAGTAGTCTGGCCGCGTCTCTATGGTGATTCCCACGCACTTGGTGTTGCTGCGCTCCGAGTACCTGCAGCAGCACAGAGGCAGAGATTGTTGGCGTCACTTGGGCCAGTTTCACTTCTCCACCATTGTGTCTGTGGATTGCTTTCTTCCTGCGACATGCTAATGGCTTTTTAATTTGACCCAATGAGAATGTATATCAGAAGGTTGGAAGAGAACAAAACATATGGGAGGCATCATTTAGCAACGACGATTTGCATGCTGTAAATTAAAACGGCTCATTACCCAGATAGTTAACACTAACCTCACATTAAAGACACATTAATGCTAGATATGAAAGACACAACTTCTAAAAAGTTAAATAAGACATTTTGGGGGAGAGAGGGGGGGTCCATTCAGTCAATTCATTATTTGGTGCCTTATTCAGTTAAATATGAACAAAGGCTAAAATCATACCATTTCAACTGTCAGGGTCATGCAGGCTACCGAGCATGAACAGGTGAAGGGTGTCTTTAGAGTTTGTTACAGTGTTAGCCAGTGTTGTATAGTAACAAAGTAAAAATACTTCACTACTGCACTTAAGTATATTTGGGAGTACTTTATACTTTCCAAGAGTATACATTTTTTTGAGAACTTTCACTTTTACTTCGCTACATTTACGAACTTACTTGCATACTTTTACTCCGCTACATTTTCAACGTCTGGTTTAGTAACTAAGTTAAAAAAAAAAAAAAAAAAAAAAAAAAAAAAAAAAAAAAAAAAAAAAAAAAAAAAAAAAAAAAAAAAAACAAGCAAAAAAAAAAAAAAAAAAAAAAAAAAAAAAAAAAAAAAAAAAAACAAGCGAGAGCGCGAGAGAAACTCAAGTGTTTTGACTCCGCCTACTGACTACAAAGTCGGGTCTTGTTCATCAACACCAATAGAATACGCCTGTTTCGCAAAGCCACTCTAAATTTATCCTACACTTGGTTGTTTATATTAATTTAAGTGAGTTTAACCAAAGTGAATTTTACCAAAATGTAAAAAAAATGTCATTCAAACTCTACTTACTTTTTACTTATACTTTTCACTACATTACTTGAGTACATCTATTTTTACAGTAATTCTTATACTTTAGTACAAGCCATTTCAGATACTTTAAGACTTTTACTCAAGTAACATTTCAGTCAGTGACTTGGACTTTTACCAAAGTCATATTTTGGAGAGGTACTTATACTTTTACTTGACTCCGAGATTTCAGTACTTTATACAACACTGGTGTTAGCCCAGTTTTACTTAGCTGGGCTTGGCTTAGCTTGGCTAGGCTCTCAGAGTTGTAATGCCCAGACTATAAAGTAAAAATCAGAAGTTTTTTTGGAATTGCATGTTTTCCAGACACCAACAAAACATTTACTTTTTTCCCCAACAACAAAACTTCAACTTCAACTTTTTATAGAGGCAGTTTAGAACCAGAAGCAAGTGAAAAAACATGCGAAGAGTGAATTTTGCACAACAGATCCCTTTGCAAACACCGCAATAGCGAAATGACCAGAATGTTAGCCTTTCTTTCTTGTTTTGCACATTTGTAATTGAAATGCATTTGACTCCAAGTCACAAAGTTAAACCCATTTTGTACTCAAAGCTACTTTCTGCTGAAATACATGACTTATTGAAGTCCCATAAGCACTTTTCCATACAGCAGACCCTAATAAATGACTTTATGGGATTTGTTACTAATAATATTAATTGTTTAAAAAATAAGATCATTAGCAACTCTCGAAATATGAATGTTTTAACTCCGTAAAGTGAGCAGCATCAGAGGTAGTCATAGAATCTGAACCGGGTTTAGACTGCACTAGGCTGGTTTAATCTTATTCATCTGAGAGATTTTATTTTGTTCACATTAATGATAAATCCTCTTTATTTCCAGGGTTACCTGTGGAGTACCACACGGATCAGCACCTGGACCAATTCTCTTTACTATGTATATGCTCCCAATCAGTAGAATTATTAGACAACATGGGATTAATTTCCACTGCTATGCTGATGATACAAAGCTATATCTGTCTATGAATCCTGGTGAAGCTAACCCATTACATAGATTATTTCCTTCTGTATCTCTGCTTCTGTCTCCTTGAACCCCAGTTAGCCTGTGCAGATGGACGCTCACACTGAGCCTGGTTCTGCTGGAGGTTTTTTTTACTGTTAAAATTTCCTCTCCACTGTCGCTACAAGCATGCTTAATGTGAAGGATTTCTCTCCAGTCAATGAGTCGATGCAATCAGCTGGTTTTCCTTAGATAGAAAACTTTGAACCAATCTGAGTGTATGAACTGGTTGAATTGGCTCTGTAAAGTGTCTTGAGAGGACATGTTGTGAATTGGAGCTATATAGATAAATTCTGCTGAATAGGCGTTAGAAAATAACTTTGCGGCATTGGTTGCCAAATGGAGTATAACGACTGCGTTACAGTCAGATTTGAAAAGACCAACAATATGAAAGTATGGAATCCCTAAAGTATCAAATATATCATCAGGTGCTTATAGTTGTTTTTTGTGTATTTAAAAAATACAACATAAGTGATCTGAAGTTTTCTTTATTGAAAATCCTCAGGATAACTTTAGATTCATCCCTTAGGCAGACCTCAGGTTTCTAGTCTCTTAAATGCTAAACACTGTAAATCCAAGCCTGAAAAGTGTACTTCCTGCCTCTGTGCATCATATCTGGTTTGAAGCAGGTTGAAATGGACTGAATGGTATCAACATACAGTCACAGCTCAAAATGTCACCATATGTTGCTGTTAGATGGAGCTCCTGTAGACGGGTTTGATGAAGTGATGGCATTTGTAGCCCTGCAGGTGCGTCACTGCAGAGGACTTGTACACCACGGCCATGCTGGCTCTCTGACAGTTATCTAAGTGGTTCTCAGTACAGGGAAACAATGGTTTATTAATATAGCAATTCAGTAGCAAGACAAATCAAAGCGCAGTAAATAAACAGAACATTTGTGAATAATAGAGAATGATAAAGGAAACTTAAAGGAGTAATCAGCCAGAAATCTGACTTTTTCATGGTAAAAACGTGTTGGTCTGTGATCCTGCTGCTTGATTTACATGATCAATGATGTCAAGGTTATTCTATATTAGTAGAGTATAAGAACAAAACGCTGCTTTTTAATTTCTGGTTCTGCATAAGCAGAGTAGACTGGAGCAAGAAGACCTGAGGGCTCTGGACAGGTGATAAACTGACACGTCTAACACATTTTGGAGCTAAGCCTTTCAGTCATTTAGAGACTAACAGCAGTATTTTATAGTCCGTTCTCTAAGATACAGGGAGCCATTAGAAGGACATTGGAACTGGGCTGACGATTTCCAATTCCTTGTTTCTAGTGAGGATGCAGGCAGCAGCGTTCTGGATCAGCTGCAGCTGTCTGTTTCAGCAGACCTGTGAAGACACAGCTGCATTTATCAATTCTACTAAAGATGAACGAAGCAGGAATTCCTTTATCTAGGTCCTACCGACATTAGTCCTTTCATCCTGCAGATATTACCGTCTTTATGAGCCTCTGAAGGTTCAGGACTGAGTCCATCACGGCACCCAGATTTACAGCCTGAACGCCGTTTTTCCAGCTGTATTAACTGAAGCTGTGCGCTAACTTTTGATTGCTTCTCCTTTGGCCCAAAAAGTTACTTCAGTTTAGTTTTTATTCAGCTGAAGAAAACTTTAGCATATCCATGCATTCATGGTCCACTGGTGACACGTTAATGTACAGCTGTGCGTCGTCTGCATAGTTATAATAACTGATGTCATTGATCAAGATAAGAGTTAGAGAGAGCGTGTAGATACAGAGGAGGGGCCGTTTGGGAACGGCATAAATGACTGTTTGGTGGTCGCTGATCCACAGTGAACTTCTGTCTTTAACGTTGCGTTTAAACCGGTCCAGTGCCGTATCGCGGAGGCCGACCCAGTTTTACGAGCGCTCCCATAGAAGGAAGTGATCAACAGGATTGATACAGACGTTAGTGGATACCTTGATAAACTGAAAAAAACAATTCAACCATGTGTTTCATGTTAGCAGAGTAGGACATAAAACACTTGTGTTAAAGTAACTAAATATGATTAAGTTAATGCTAAAAGCGTTGGCATTATTTTTTTCAGTGTAAGGCCAGTTTCTGCACTGTGGCGAGTAAGGAAGCAGGACTGGAAGATGTCAAAGAAGCTGGTGAAGTTCAGTAATGACTATCTTTTAACTCCCTCATCAAGTGAGTAGAGTGAAGGACAGAAAAATGCTTGGACTTGAGGTTTATGTTTACGGTAACTGTTTTAATTAGGAGAGTACAGTAACAGCCATTCAAAATTGCCCTTCCCAGTCAGACGGCAGGCGAATGGCAGCCCACTCCCCTTCAGCTCCCAGCCAAATCCCCTCCAACTTCCAGCCATTGGCCTTCTCCTAGGCATACATATGTTTTTACTCTTACTCCACCCTTTCACTGAATTACAGCATCTGAACAGGAGATAACGCTTCTTTTTTATCTTAATGTCCATTAATTATGACAGAAAGAGTATTTTAGTACAAAGATTGATGTTTGAAAAGGCATTGTAGGGGACCAGCCAAGGACCCATTTAGGAAAGTGGAGACATTCTGAATGGATACTACTGTAACATAGTTCAGTAAAACTTGTTTTGCTGTGTTTTTAAAATGAATTTCAAGGCAGATCTCTTATCAGCTTCCTCTTCCCTGAATCTGACTCATCTACCACTTTCAAAGCCATCTCACCAACTGATCAAAATCATCACAACAACCCAAGAAATGCGTCATCTCGGCACACGAGCCAGATGTCATTCTCTCCACTCCAGCTGCTCCAATGACCATTAGCTCCCCTCATGCCAGGCCCCCTTTCCCCCGATTTTGGATCTTCTGGCAATAAATGTCCATCTTTTACAATCCGCTGGCTGATTTACTCTAATTACAAGAGTTTATGCTCCACAGAGGATGATCAGATTGTGGGAGATGAATCAATAAAAAGTCTATTATCTCAGGCGATTATCTCGAGGTATCTCACTGCTTCCATCAGATCGAGAGCGGCGGGGCC